ATGGCTACACCCAGCCATCATGGCGGCACCCAGCCATCATGGCGGCACCCAGCCATCATGGCTACACCCAGCCATCATGGCGGCACCCAGCCATCATGGCGGCACCCAGCCATCATGGCTACACCCAGCCATCATGGCGGCACCCAGCCATCATGGCAGCACCCAGCCATCATGGCAGCACCCAGCCATCATGGCTACACCCAGCCATCATGGCGGCACCCAGCCATCATGGCGGCACCCAGCCATCATGGCTACACCCAGCCATCATGGCGGCACCCAGCCATCATGGCTACACCCAGCCATCATGGCGGCACCCAGCCATCATGGCAGCACCCAGCCATCATGGCAGCACCCAGCCATCATGGCTACACCCAGCCATCATGGCGGCACCCAGCCATCATGGCTACACCCAGCCATCATGGCGGCACCCAGCCATCATGGCAGCACCCAGCCATCATGGCAGCACCCAGCCATCATGGCTACACCCAGCCATCATGATGGCCCTGCCTTACCTTGCGTACTCTTCTACGCGTTGTTCTTCTATCCATATATTCTTAGGCCTTTATTTCCTTCGCCATATTGTATTTCTTCAAGTGTTGCTCCGGGTTAGTACTGGTGTTGTTGGTGACGCTGCAGCTCTGGGTTAGTGAAGCTCCAGTCCACTTAACATTTACTGTGAAAATTCCAGATGCTTGCGTGCTATATTATGTGATATATTTGATAGAGAAAACGTTGTCTTGATTTTATAAGTGACCAAAGTGCAGTGAGCAAAATATATATTTGTAGTATGGTCAGATATTCTTGGTTGAGGAGATGCGACGAGGGCAGAAATCATTGAGAATACCGTTAAGATACGCCCCAAGACATCCTCATATGGAAGGTGGAAATATAATAAGAAATGAGACAAGAGTTGTGACGAGGGAGCATCATTATCAAGGCTGGATAATGAACTAGTTCCTGGAAACTTGGCCTCATTTTTTAAATATATTTCCAGTCTTGATATACCTTTTCCATTTTATATGTTTTTCTCTCGTTTTTCTTATTATTTAAATTCCTTTGTTTAATTATTAATCCGAGAATGATACTGCCATGTCGTTTTCATTTTCGTTCTTCGAGAGTTAAGATCTAAAAAATGTATTAATTTTATTTACTTGTCAACTATTAAATGCCTTAAATTGACTTGTAAACAAATTCGGTTCACCATTCATGGGGCAACTTTTAGCTTTGTGTAACGACTAACTTTTATGTCTGTGATAAGTTATTTGTACCACTGCACTGTATACGAGATACAACACCTTTCTGTAAACACCTTTGTAAGTTTGATCATTGGACATGCTTGTTACACATACCGACAAATTAATCGTTGATAGAGAGAAAATAGTAGTCGATCTGTGTACACTGGTTGGTCTGTGGCTATAGCCTGTGACCCATCTGTTGGGTGGGTGTGGCGACCCGGGATGGGGGGGGGGGGTGAAGGTGTGGCGACCCGGGCTACAAGTTTCCTCTGTTAAGGGACCAAGTTCGGCGCTCTCGTCCCATTTCTAATTTGACTCCATAATGACTTCATAACTTGAGCTACGCAGCTTATAAATACACACACACAGCTGCACGTCCTCGACCACTCCCGCCGCCACCAAGTTATAATGTGAGATACACACAACTTTATCCCAATATTCCTCGGCTCTTTGTTATAAATCTCGGTAATTATTACATTTTTCTGTAAATTTAGACGCGTTTTTAACTATACTTTGTCATATATATAAATATGTAATGTGTGTAAGCAAATAATTATAGTTACTGCAAAAATGTATTAACACGATTGTTCTATATTTCTTAGTTCTTCTTGACTTGGGTCTAATGAAATGTGCCAAGTCCAGCACATTTCACATGTGCTATGCTTTCTCTTAGCCTCTTCAGAGCCACAGGGAAAATGAATGCAAGATATAAATTCAGGATTTATTCATAAACAGGAACCTGGCCTGTTCCTGTACCCTGGCCTGGTCCTGTACCCTGGCCTGGTCCTGTACCCTGGCCTGTTCCTGTACCCTGGCCTGGTCCTGTACCCTGGCCTGGTTCTGTACCCTGGCCTGGTCCTGTACCCTGGCCTGGTTCTGTACCCTGGCCTGGTCCTGTACCCTGGCCTGGTTCTGTACCCTGGCCTGGTCCTGTACCCTGGCCTGGTCCTGTACCCTGGCCTGGTCCTGTACCCTGGCCTGGTCAGTACCCTGGAAGGTCCTGTACCCTGGCCTGGTCTGTACCCTGGCCTGGTCCTGTACCCTGGCCTGTTCCTGTACCCTGGCCTGGTCCTGTACCCTGGCCTGGTCCTGTACCCTGGCCTGGTCCTGTACCCTGGCCTGGTCCTGTACCCTGGCCTGGTCCTGTACCTTGGCCTGGTCCTGTACCCTGGCCTGGTCCTGTACCTTGGCCTGGTCCTGTACCTTGGCCTGGTCCTGTACCTTGGCCTGGTCCTGTACCTTGGCCTGGTCCTGTACCTTGGCCTGGTCCTGTACCTTGGCCTGGTCCTGTACCCTGGCCTGGTCCTGTACCCTGGCCTGGTCCTGTACCTTGGCCTGGTCCTGTACCTTGGCCTGGTCCTGTACCTTGGCCTGGTCCTGTACCTTGGCCTGGTCCTGTACCCTGGCCTGGTCCTGTACCCTGCCCTGGTCCTGTACCCTGCCTGGTCCTGTACCTTGGTCTGGTCCTGTACCTTGGCCTGGTCCTGTACCTTGGCCTGGTCCTGTACCTTGGCCTGGTCCTGTACCTGCCTGGTCCTGTACCTTGGCCTGGTCCTGTACCTTGGCCTGGTCGTGTACCTTGGCCTGGTCCTGTACCTTGGCCTGGTCCTGTACCCTGCCCTGGTCCTGTACCTTGGTCTGGTCCTGTACCTTGGCCTGGTCGTGTACCTTGGCCTGGTCCTGTACCTTGGCCTGGTCCTGTACCTTGGCCTGGTCCTGTACCCTGGCCTGGTCCTGTACCTTGGCCTGGTCCTGTACCTTGGCCTGGTCCTGTACCTTGGCCTGGTCCTGTACCTTGGCCTGGTCCTGTACCTTGGCCTGGTCCTGTACCTTGGCCTGGTCCTGTACCTTGGCCAGGTCCTGTACCTTGGACTGGTCCTGTACCTTGGCCTGGTCCTGTACCTTGGCCTGGTCCTGTACCTTGGCCTGGTCCTGTACCTTGGCCTGGTCCTGTACCTTGGCCTGGTCCTGTACCTTGGCCTGGTCGTGTACCTTGGCCTGGTCCTGTACCTTGGTCTGGTCCTGTACCTTGGCCTGGTCCTGTACCTTGGCCTGGTCCTGTACCTTGGCCTGGTCCTGTACCTTGGCCTGGTCGTGTACCCTGGCCAGTTCCTGTACCCTGGCCTGGTCCTGTACCCTGGTCCAGTATGTTGTCAATGCGAATGTGATGAGTTGATTACTCTGTCGAGAGGACAGGTTAATCGGGTCCTGCATTCTTTTATTCTTATTGGTGAAAGGGCACGAGTTGGTTGTTAATAATTTTATGAGTGTGTGATGCGGAGGTATTTTGTTATGTACAATCTCTTTTTGTTTCTATATCTGTCAGTTATTTCGGTGATAAAGATGAATATATCTCATTTGATGATTTGATATTTGTGCAGAAATGCTGCGATCTTCAGTAGTCCACGTAGTTTTTTGCAGTGTTGAGCCTTGAGTTGTCATCATCCTGCTTGCATGTTGAGAGCTGTCGGTGACAGTTCCCAGGAGGACAGATAAATGCACAAAGAACATTCATTACTTCGAAGGCTTCCAAGATAGTACTGAGAGTTCTTTATGAACACTTTGGCGATATTTTTTTTTGTTCAGGGTTGAAAAAGGTAATGTTCCTATCGTTTATGTCCTTGGGGGATTCTTTCCTCCGTTGTGTGGCCATAAAAAAGTAAAGTAGTTCTTGCAATAGTTTAATAGGTGGAAGAGGCTTCATAGTTGACAACTTCTTTCACATATGTATAGTTAATGTAATAAATTGGTAGAGTGATAGGGGAATGGGAGAAAAGAGGAGAGGTGGTGGAAGCTTAAAAGGAGAACAGTACAAAAGGAAGAGTTAGAGAGAGGGACGATTACGGGCTCACCATAGCTCACCAGGATGAGATGAAAAATAAGAAGTATAACTAGATATAGGAGGAGAAAGATGCACAAGTAGAAGAGAGAGAAGGAGATTCACCATGCAACATTTTTAAGACCTGTCTTTCTAAACACCATCAATGATGTCCAAGAAATGTGTAAGTACTTCATTCATAATGATGTACTGCCAGGAATCTTAGCAAAGAAATAAAATACAAATTCAGCTGTTCCATATCTTAATGGTATGTCAATTCGGTCACAAGTTTATTAAACTCTTAATGGGTAAATAATAATAATGCTAACAATAGCACTCTGCACCTGGGGCTGCAACTCGTTTGTGTCTAAACCACAACCTACACTCTTAATATGACATAAATAATTCAAATCTGAACATGAACTTTGATGACAAAATGATAATGATACAAAAACTAGTGCTATTCAGATAACATCTTTAGCCCCTGAATAACTCTGGTCTCCTGTAGTGTGGTCGCCCACCTTGCGTGTGACGGGCAACAGTTTTAAGTCGCTGCTGTTATAACCCGTCTAAATGTAAATGCAAAATTAGATTACATTTTCTTCAAGTAATCATTGTTCGTGTTTTTACGAAAAGAACATGGAATTAAATATTATAAAAATCTATTGAATATCATTATCGTAGAAGAATTAGAATTAAGTTCTTGGTCGGGAATTAAGTAGCATAGGTTTCAGATAGGTTTCAGTATTTTTCTCTTGTGTATCATTAATGTAAGCAACACACACACGTCATGCTAAATGTCAAGAGCACAATTTGTAGCCTAGTTTTGTCCCTCCGTGATTGGTCCATGAATTAAAAACAGACGGGGATGGCGACCAAGCTAGGTGGACCTACTCCGGAGAGGACGCCCCTTCCCCAAGAGGATGCCTCATAGAGTGTGACGTGTTGGCACCTTATGTTCCTGCAACAGGAACGAAAGCAACATCCGCCACCAAGATAATGTTATTAAAACAAGACTAAAACAGAAGCGAAAAAGAAACGGAAAAAGGAGGAAACCCCACCTCCATTTAATTCTTTGACCCAAATACCAGAGTAACAAGGTAATCGCGAATAACCGAACTCAATTACGGGCTCACCATAGCCCGTGCTACATGGACATTTCGTTCTGAGTAGCTAAATCTAAAACAACAACAACAACAACAATAACGGAAGCAACCAGAAGAACATAAGTTGCCAACATGTCACACTCTGTGCTGATACATTGAGTACCTTATTAATACCCATGTATTGTCATTCATCCATATGTCACCTTACCACTTCACCATAAGAGGATATAATCAGGTGCCAACACTGTTGAATTTGTCTTTGAGAATGTGAGGTGAGACCTTACGAAACGCATCACTAGGCGTCAGACACAAATATCAAGTAAAAATGAACTTTGGAGA